CAAATTGTGGTTCTTACCATTGCCTCTTCTAATGCTCTTGAATTATGAAGTAGAGGTTCTGTCTTTTATGTAATTCACTGATGAAACTGTCAGTTTACTGGAAGATAAACAATGGGGTTATTATTCATCTTCCAAAAAGATTTAATGGCACATTTCTTGAAATACTAAGGATTCCTAATACATTTACAATGTGATTTGCTTTGTAAATTTAGATTGACATGCAACTTTTCAGAAACGTGGATTGTAAACAAACCATATCTTGACTAGTATGAGTGTCGCCTGACCTGCATAGTTGGAAAGGATAGTCAGAACTGTTTTTTCTGCTGAGGGAAATATATTTGTTTAAGAGGCTGATGAGATGGCTAAAATGAGATGTTAATAAATATGATTTGCTTATGCACTGAGTGCTCAGGAACTTCTTAACCATTGACTGCAAGGAAGCAGTCTTTGAACCTGTGTTCCTTCTCTGGGTTCAGAATTTGATAGTAAACAAAAGGTTTAATCATGAATTTCTTGGCATTGTTACACTTAGGCTTCACGTGTATTTTCCTATGTGAGTTCCAGGTATTTCCTGTACTTTAGAAAACTAACACAGAAATGTTGCAAAAATAATACAGAAGAGATAATTGCACTGTACTGTGTATCCTCTATCTAGCTTCCCCTGATGTTGATAAATTACATCACCATAGTGCAGTTATTGATGATAGTGCCATTATCAAAACCGTAAAATTAAAATTATTTCAGTGCTATTAACTAAGCTAAAACCTTACTCTAACTTTGCCAGTTTTTTTTTTTTTTTTTTTTTTTTTTTTTTTTTTTTTTTTTTTTTTTTTTTTTTTTTTTTTTTTTTTTTTTTTTTTTTTTTTTTTTTTTTTTTTTTTTTTTTTTTTTTTTTTTTTTAATACAAATGTCCATTTTCTTTGCCAGGATCCTATTTAGGAAACTACATTGCGTCTAGTTGTTATTTCTCCTTAATATCCACAGTCTGCGACCGTTCCTAAATCTTTCCTTTTCCTTTATGACCTTGTTTCTTTTGAAAGAGTATTTATTGGTTATTTTGTTGAATACCTTTCAATTATGGTTTGTCTGATGTTTTCCATTGATTTGACTGAGAGGTTATGCATTTTGGTCAAGACTACCTTAGATACAATGTTGTGTCCTTCATAGGACATCATATCACAGCATTTATGGTGTCAGTAGATCATCACTAGTGATTTTGACTTTGATCACTTGGTCAAGGTGGTTCTTTGTATTTTTAAGCCTGATGACTAATAACTATCTGCTATTTATGACAGGTAACAAGGTCAAGGAATATGGAACTGCAAGGGAATTTAGAGATGATCTTCTGTAAACCCTTCCTCTTATAGTTAAGCAACCAGAAGCTCCAACAGGGTAACCATTTGCCCAAAGGTCACCCAATTATTTACTGACAGAGCAGGAACTTAGCAGTCAGGTCTCAGGGCTCCAAGTTTAATAGTCTCTATACTTCCTAGCTATGCTCAAACACTTGTGATTCACTTAGTCCTAGTTTTACCAGACTGTAAAAGCTAAACTGACTGTATGTTCAGCCAGCTTTTGGTTAAAAGTTACAACCAGACTAAAAGAGAAATCACAGAGAGGTACATATTCCACAGTTCATGGTACCCACTCACAGAGCTGGCCAAGGCTGAAAATCAGATGAACTTCTGTATCAGCATTTATGAAATGAAAATAATTCTCCTGGAATGCTCCACATAACACATAGGGAACAACAACAAAAAACCTACTTGAGATTTTTAACAGAAAAAGGAGATTTGTTTATTAATAATTCATGAGTTCCCATTGAACATGCACGACAGAAACAGTGCTATTCAATAGAGAATACTGTCATCTGTCACTGTTTTATTTGACATTTACACTTTTTTTTTTTTTTGACTGATACTGCAAAACTTTCTTGGATGGCATGCAAAAATTATATAAATGAAAAAAATACCAGTGTGGGGACCCTTTATCTCTTCTATGATGGATTCACTCACAGTTGCATACATGTGTACTCATGCAATAGCATGGCACTTTCTCACACATTCATTAGCCACCAGACAATCTAATAAGAGATTTTATTGAGAAAACAGAGATAAGCACCCCAAATGGGCTGGTGGAAGGATCATGTGAAGAAAAAGATGGTGGGTGAGTTGGGAAGTGAGGTGCAGGAATAGATTTCCTGAAGACGAGCATACAGATTCGTGGAGTGAGCAAATGAGTCAGAGTGAGGGGAAAGTAAACCATGGCTGCCGTGAAGAAAACTGACAAAAAATACATTCCCATTTCAGCTACAAAGTCAATATGTGTAAACAGCATCACAGTAGCTCCGCTTGTAGGGAATATCGGCATTTAGTAGAAGAGCAAGTTAGAGTGAGGGGCACCTTACAATTTTGTGCTACTGTGAGGCTCTTGACAATCTTTCTGCTCTGTAGGTTAGTTATTATTTATAAAAAATCACAGAACCAGCTGATACATTCATAAGCTAATTATTGAAGCAGCTGGGTACACATGGTGCAATATGTCCAAGGCTGTGAAGTATCACAGATTTCTTGGGGCCTGCTGTGGTGGGGGGTGCACTGTTGGAGGCTCCATCCCTTAATCTGATCAGCCAAGCAAACACTTTGTGGGGAAACTAGATTAATAACCCTCTAAATACCATGAATGTGCTTCATCTTCAAAACTGGGTTCCCTTAAACATGCTATTAGCTCAGCTCCATCAGGGATTTGAGGAAGTTCTCTGGTGCCCTAAGAACAGGGCTACCTCCCTGTGCCAGAAATTAATTTGGTTTGCTTATGTCTGCACACATGATCACACTTGTGTCTAATCTGCTCCCTAATAGCTCCAAGGTCAAGACCTTGCATGTCAGTGGGCAAATTGAGCACTACACTTCTTAAAGACTGATGGCAGACAGCGCACAGTCCACAACAAGGCCTGTAGTGTTGTTCTAAGTGATTGTAATGAGTGCAGATTATAACAGTGCATATAAATCAAATACAGCAATGAATGTTGTGTGAGACATTCCTAATGTCATAAGTGGAGATACCACTCAGCTGTCACCTGTCTCCTTTCAAGCTGTGGCTTCCCATAATGCAGTTCACTCCTCAAGCGGAACAGCAGGTGCTGTCTTCCTTAAAGTCTGAGTATTTCAGAACTTCATCTTTTAACAGATGTAGGTTTTTGTTTTTATTTTCCGTTGAATGATTGGTCTCCATGCTATCTCCTCCCCTGGGAGATGATAAACATACCTGTTTGAAACATTTGAGAGAGTTCAGTTGGAGACTTATTCAGATCTGTGAAAAGACAGAGAAATAGGAGCTTATTTTTTCCACAGATGGTTTATTTTCCGTTTCAAGAATTCTTTCCTTTGTACAAAGAAACCCTTGAGGGAACACTTTGGGACTAGGAGACTTTTAAATATATAATTTATTTTCTGGTAGGGGTAAAAAAAATGTGTCTTCATTTTTCATATACATTGCACCTTGAAAATCAACATAACCTGTCTCTCAATTGAGTTAAAGAAAAAAAAATCTATGAAAATACTTGGAAAAACATTTCCAAACAAATGATAAGATACCTTCTTTTCATTCTTCCTAACTCTCTAACTCTCCCAAGCTCCCAGTTTATTGCAAGAAAAGATCAGGTCTGCGCAAATGTGGCCTCTCACTTGTAAAAACAAGGCAGTGTTGTGTTACAGATTAGTTTATAAATCCCCAGTGGCTTCACAGTTCAGTGCCTACAGCTGCTGCAGATGGGCCTGGGTTTTTGTCTCTTCGCGGTGCTGCAGCCGGCAGTTGAAGGAGAAAATGGAATGATCAGGTTATTAACATGGAGGCCGCGAGGAAGACGCTGCACAATGAGAACAGCTGGTGTTGCTGTCTTGGCTGATGCAGCGGAGATAATCAAATCTTGCCTTTTTTTGGGTAAAGGCAGAAGACACAGTGGAGAGTTAGACAAACAACAGCTTATGATGTTATGTGGGGTTTTTATAATGCATGTCAGGAACTTTCATTGCCTTACAAGTTATAATATAGAATTTGTTGAGATTTGGGATTTATTTTTCACAGTCATTTTTGTTTAATCATGCACCTTTTTAGAAAAATTTTACTCTTTTGCAAGAGGTGTGACGTTGGACAGTTCTTGTTTTTAAAATGAATGATATAGCTTGGAAATGATGGGTTAGAAAGCTACTGGGTAAAATATTTTGACATGAGTCAGTGAGCGATGTTGACAGCATCCTCTGTATTATTTTCATATAATCCATCATAATTTGCATTACATTTTCTTTCTCGTGCAGTTGCGAGAGAGAATGTCCGGATGCCAGAGTTGGGAGGCAGACATTTGCAGGTGTGACCTGACCAACTGCCTACCTTCCTGCAGGTGTGGCTATGGCGGGAGGGTGCTGGTGAGGAGGGCCTTGAGTCAAAGGTTCAGGGATTGAGCACATTTACATTTTTTTTTTTTAATTCTAGCTGAGGTTATTGTTTCTATTCTGTGGCATTATTGATAATTGTGAGATTCTTTCCTCCCTAGAGAATTTAGTGCTATTTACACTCAAACATTTTTTTCTTCTTCAGAATTTTCCCTCTCATAGTACATATTTGTTCATCGTCACTCTTTTCTGAGAATGGAAAACTAGCCAATTGGGTAATGCTTAAAAATTGTAGCTGACCAGCACGGATTATTTTTTTTGAGAATCAGACAACTATAGTCTTGCTTGATTATCTTTTACAAAGAACTGTAATTGAGAATATATTCTATAGGAAAGGTGATAAGATAACTAACAAGGGTAAAGATTCTTGGGCATTGATGTTACCACCTGTGTGGCCACTGGGTGGTTTTTAGAGTCAGACTATTTTAGTATCTCTGCAGGGTGGTGGGAACAATTTAACAGAAAAATATGATGAACTTGACTAAGTCGAGGCCCACTCAGCTCCTCTGCACTCTGCAGGTTAACTCAAGTGGCCTCCTCTCTCTCTAGGGCTGGCTGTGTGAACTGCTCCGCTGGAAGGAGAACCCAAGCCCAGAAAACCGCACACTCTGGGAGAACCTCTGTACCATCCGTCGCTTCCTGAACCTTCCCCAGCATGAGAGGGATGTGATCTATGAGGAGGAATCAAGGCATCACCACAGCGAACGCATGCAGCATGTGGTCCAGCTTCTACCTGAGCCGGTGCAGGTTAGCATCCCCTCCCCGCCACCTGACCAGGACATTCTGTACCAGCAGCAGCTGCTGAGGGCCAAAGGGGCATACCACTCCAGCTCCCATTGGAGGGTGTCTCATGCCATATCACTAAGGACAGAGGACCCTTTTGCCATAGTGGCCACTGTGCGTGTGCATGAGTGTGTAATGTGTATGTGTGCACACAGGGAAAAATGACTGAGAAGTCAAATGACACAGACAGCTGCTTTTCTGAGAGCATTTTACTTGGGGGATTGTGAAGCCAGAGCACTCGTGGAGAATTAAATCTCCCAATCAGAAAACAGTTTCCATCAGTTCCAACACTGAAGTAGTTTTTGATCCAAATTCTTTGAGGGATTTTTGATTAGGCTGAGGAAAAGAAGTAGCCACATGACCTAGTGAATACCACTGAACCCAGCTGAACCTTTGAGAGAAATTGTGACAGATTCTTAGAATTTTAAGATGAGTTTTTGCTGTCTTTGGTTTCCTCCCTCTTAGAAATCTGCTTTTATTTGGATTGCGTGTTTTGTTTGCTTAGTTTCTGTTCTCATTGAGAAAAAAAAACATTTCTTTCTGAAAGTAATTGAATTAACTACTGACTGTCATTTAAAATCAGTAATTTTCAAGAAGAAATATTAACTAGGGTTTCTTGATAAAGACGTAGTAGGAGGGATGTGAAGGAGGAAGTGAAGGTGCCCGACTCGGAGTTTTCTGTGTCTCCTTTTCCCTCGCTCCACCTTTACATGCCTAGGGGAGAAACCAGAAGTTAACGAGCCCATTACATTACTTTCTGTCCAAATACTGACATCTCAGTCAGTGCTTTCATGCTATCATTGGTCTGCTTTCAGGGCCAGAGTTACGGAATGAGTCGCCCAAACTGCTAAACTCATGGATTCGTAGAGACAGTCTCTTACGTTATCCACAGTGAACCCAGGGTGGGTGGTTGAGAAGGGTACCTTACCCTCCTGGCTCTGGACTCAGGTTTGGGGCAATTCATTCCCAGGAGGCTGAGCCGCATGGCTTACCCTTCAGGACCGACATTCCCCCTTTCCTCCCTTGGTTGTCTCTTGGCTGTGGCCTCATATAAATACCAGGACACCTCCCTATAGATAATTAGACCAATGTACTGAGTCACACAGAGCAGTGGTTTTCAGACTTTGAGATGTAGTAGAAATTAAAGTTAATGAGGGGCCTGCTATAGGTTTAACAACCTTTTATTTTAGAGAATAAAAAGGAAGCTTTCATTTATTATCAATCATTTTATAAAATAAAACCCTCTTTAATATCAATCAAATTAATGAAACAGAGAGCCTCAGACAAAAGATCATGAAAAGTATAAATTCAGTCATACACGAGACTTGCCGTCACCATTTTTTTCCTCGTTGTGATATGAAATAGTCCGAACTTCTTTCTTGAACCAACCAGAGCCAAAGTCTAGCTTCAGGGCACTGACTTTCCATGGACTTTTCATTCAGGATTGTCTTAGTTCAACCCAGGTGAAGTAAAAATAGAACAGGAATGAAAAAACTGATTTATTCTAGACATTAATAACAGCTCATTTTAATCATAGGATGATGATAAAGTTGGAAACTCAGAGAAATCTGAGATAAAAATACTAAAACCCATTTTTTATTATAATTGAGGACCTCCCTTTATTTAAATGATGGCTGTCTTTGTTATTTGTCCAGAAATTATCATCTCTGTGGGCCCTGTGTTTAGGTAACTAAAGGAATATTCAACATAATATTTTGTCTCATAGTTGTTCAGTTCAAGTAAAGTAAATCTTAGAAGCAGACAGCCAGTTGATTTATGAGTTTTATTATCTTTTCTGTTAGTATGTCAGAACTAGGGTGTGCTAACAATATTAAATGGCTAAGCGAAAATCAGCCTATAAATTTCCTTTTCAGTGTAAGCACTTTGTGGCTATTAACTTCTGATATCACTAAGACAAATTCACTTATTTTATAAAAGGTTATTTCTGTCACTCATATCTTAGCTAAAGAGTTTGCAAATAAGGTAATTTTCTCTACATTGAATTTGCCTTAGCCATTGGCCTTTATCCTCTAACTACTGTGAAGAAACTCTTCAGTACATTGCTTTTTGTTTTTCTTTACATTGTGTCTGTTTCTGAGTGACACTGCTTTGAAATGTTGAATTTATGTTTGTCAGCAAAATATAAAGCTGGGAATTGATTATTTATTACAGTCATAATATGAAAAATGAAGAAAAGTAACTAGAACCAGATGGCAGAACTCTTGAGCCTGGAGACCAGTTGGTACAGCCTCTGTGATTTGGGAAAGACTATACAAGGGGGCTTCAAAAAATTCATGGAAGCATTCATATTATCTTTTAGTTCCATTTTCCCACAAACTTTTTGAAGTACCCTCATATTTAAAAAGATACCAAGCTACTAAAAAATGCCCATAATTGTCTAAAAGTCAAGCTGTTGGATGCAGGGTTGGAGTTCACTTGTGCCCTTATATCAACTAAAATTTGAGAGAGAGAGTGGCTCGTGTATTTTAGGGATTTTAAATTTTGTATGTAGAGTAATAGTTGGGCATTGTTGCACTTTGTCTAACTAGGTAGAAGATGTGCCATTATTAAATTGTTAAGTATGGGTGAAATCAATGATTATTTAGAGCTTCTGATATATGTAGAATATTAAAACATATAGAAGTCCTCCTAACGTGTGACTGTGGAAGAGTGCCATTTAAATTTCTTTAGGTAATTAGAATACATTATTTCTTAATTTTTCTTAAATGGTAAAGATATGAGACAGTGGTCTTTGTGCATAATTACCCACTGGCTAAGTCTGTTGGATTAGGGCCCACAGATGATGCACTGGATAAAAGAAGGTGCTTTGCATCATACCTCCCCATTTGATTCTGTGATGTTGGGAAGTCCCTTAGAGTCACAGCCTCTGTCCTCAAAGAAGAGAAGAAATTTTTCTTGCCATTTGTTTGCAAATAGAGTTTACAAATGGACAGTATGTGTTAGCTTGCAGATGTTTGTTTCGTGCCTACAAATGTTTCTTTTAAGCCTGTTTCTTTTAAGGGTTTAAAGAATTTAAGCCTGTATTTAAAAATCAGGATACTTCACATAAAATCCAGAAAATAAGAAGATCTGACCTACCAGGCTTAGGCTCCTCCTTGGCTGGGGCCGATAGTCTTTCCACAGGGCACAAGTTCACCACCCTGCTGCCAAGATCCCCATCACCCGCACTCTTTATGCTCATGTGCACACATCCCGTCCACCTGTCACATTACCTCAGTCCTGTGAGGTCACCTGGCCCCTGTGATTACACCTCTATATCTGAAGCTGCCTCACCAAAGCCGTAAGTGCCTTTGCCCCATGGCTCTGATTTCTTTGATGGTAGCCATTACACGCCATTGTCCTTTGCATGCTTACCAAAAAATGCAAGTTTGATGGAATTTCACATCAATGAAAAGATGCAAGGTTAGAGTTGAGAACAAGCTGGGCTTGGGGCCACTGATGGTTGTTGTCATTGTCAGAGACATGGCGATCCTGGAAGAGTGAGATTGTTCTTCCTTGGGAATTCAGATCTTGCCAGGTGAGGTGTAGCTTTGACATCATATGGAATTATCTGGTTTCTCTAGTTTTCTTCAGAAATCCCCATTTAAGTCCCTGCTATATAGAAGCTGGCTTTCCAGGCTCTGAACACATTTTATAAACTAGATCCATTCACTCCATGGATCCACAACCAAGAGGGTAAAAATTTGTTCTCAGGGAGCATAAAAATCTTAGATTTACAGTGGTTTGTGGCCCTCCAAAGGGACATGGTACATAAAGAGATATTCATTATATCTCTGGCATTAAAATTTTGTGAGGGGGGTAAATGATTAGGAAAAAAAAAAGTTTAAAAAGTTCTTAAGGAGTCAATAATTGAAAAAAGTTGAGAAACTCTAATCTGCATAATGTTTCTGGTCCATGTATTGACAGCACAAAGAAGATCAAAAGAGGTGAGACATGGGAAGGCAAACCAAACCAAAGCAAAATATTGCATGAAAAAGATGAAATAAATTCCACTTTTTACCCCAAAATGTTGGAGACAAAGTTGTTGCTTGTGGTTGCAGTGATTTCCCCTCTAGTGGTTATGACCCAAGGCCCTATAGTGAATGGATATCCTCAGCTTAGAATCAAAAACTAATTAGGTCAGGGTATTAATTATTACCAAGTCCATTTTACAATTGGAAAAACCAGAGCAGAGACGTCAAGTCTTGCCTGAAGCCAGGATCACCAGCTGGATGAACATGCAGGCGTTCTTGGCATCTGGTCTTTCCTCTAACCACACTTCCCTCTTACTGCAGTAGAGAAGAAAGGACATTGCTCGTTCTAGGGCTAGGTCACTGAGTGGAGTTGACTGGGGAGAATTTGCCAAATTGTTCATGTCTGTGTAGTTTGCACTTTATTGCTTTATTGTATTTCCACACAGTGTTTCCATGGGTTATTTTTTAAGTTCAGGAATTCTGAGCTTGCTTCTGTGTGGTTTCCTGACAAGTGCTTGTTTTAAAATTCCATGGTGTACACTGAGTAAGAATGTAAGACCTGGTCGATGACAGCCAGACACCAGCCTATGCCTTCACTCGCTGGATTACTGCTCACTCAGGGGATTTTCAGCATTGTCTAAGCCACAGTCTTCCTGTCATTTGTATCTGCCAGTGGTTCTCAACTGATTTTGGGGTGATTTTGTCCCCCATGGCATATTTGACAGTGTTGTTATTTTAATTTGGGGTGTTACTGGTATCTACTGGGTGGAGGCCAGAGGTGCTGCCAAATATCCCACAATGCACAGGACAAACTCCAGAACAAGTACTTCTCTGGCCTGCTGGGCCTGTAGTGCTGGGGTTGTGAAACCCTGGTATAGACATACCATTAATTGCCTAACAGCACAAGATAAAAAATTCTGAGCATCGCTGAGGCTGATTCTGAGTTTTTCCTGTATAAAATGCAGTAATAACAACAACAGTGATGCTGCT